CCCATGCAGCCAGTATCCCCATTCATTCCCACTCAAACCTTTCTCATTATTACGATACATCAGATTCCAAAAAAGGCAACACTTTCCTTCTGGATCTAACAATAGAACGTATGTGTCTCACATTTAAGGGTATTACCAACCCAGTCTGTATTAACATCCTTAATATGTTCACATCCTTTGCCTCACTAATTCAATTTGTCATAATTCCAAGGAAATAATACTGTATACTGGAAGGGCTTCAGGCATAAATTTTTCATCATATTAATATTTATAACGGTAAAACTTTGTAATGAATTACACACTCAATACTAGGGAGATAAAATGTCTAAATAAATTCAAGTATATCCTCTTGTTAGAGAATGTTAGACATAAAAATTATATTTTTGATGGTTTGGAAACAAGGAAAATGCTTATGCTTCAAAAGTTAAGTTAAAAATAAAAGCAGAACATCAAAAGTTAAATTAAAAAAAAAAAGAAGAACATCAAATAGTACATGGGAGATCCTTAGCCCCCTCTTAGGATGAATGTTTGTGCCTTTCCAAAATTTATATGTTGAAGCCTGAACCCTGCCGTACGGCTATATTTGCATCAAGGCCTCTAAATAAGTAATTAAAGTTAAATGAGGTTCTAAGAATGGGTTCTGATTCAATAGGATTCGCGCTCATTTAAGCAGAGACATCAAATCCTATTCCCACTCTCTCTCTCTCTCCAACCTAAACTTCGGCAAGTGCTACTGTCATAAAGGAAGAGAACGCAGTACGGGTTAGGTAGGAAGCCTGGGGTTTTGTTGTTGTCATTGCTAATGCTGCTTACCCAGCGCATCTTCAACCAGCTCTAGGAAACTGAAAATCATCATTTGTCAAGTTAGAATATGGTGACGGGGGTCACCTCATAGAGCTCTTGTGAGATTTGAGGAGATAAGTACTGTCAAAGCCATTCGAAAACATTAAAAAAAAAATCGCCATATACTAGGACATACGAGTCCTAGCATTACTATTATTATTATTAGTAGTAGTAGTATTAGTATTAGTATTAGTATTAGTATTAGTATTAGTATTAGTATTAGTATTATTATGGATGCTTACTTCCTCAGCAGAAATCTCTCAGCTCTTAGCCCTTCAGAGCCTGGCTCTGCTGAAGACGGCCACCTGGCCCAGATCATGCTTCTTTCCTAGACCCCCTCATCCTATGTCTGTGGACATAGGATGGAAGTTGGAAGGTATAAAGGCCTGACCTCTTGGCTCCAACTCGAGGCAATGCTAACACATCATCTCAGCTTCAGAATGACTCTGAAGTAGCTGATTGGCTGAAGCCTCCAATGGGACTACACCACACCTTCACCCACTCATGCTTCCCCCAGCTCCCCTCCAAAAGAGCTGATCCCAAGTGAGTTTCTTAATGTAACTTCCTGTGGCTCAGATTCTGTTGCCTGGAGAACCCAGTCCGTGACATCATTCATAAGATAATGTTTTTCTTTTTTTCCTTGTAGCTCTAGTCAGGATAAGCTCCTTATTCAGATCTTCTCTATCCTTTGATCTTATGCCATTTGTTTATGCCCTTGATCATGTTAATCCTCAAACCTGGATTCTAGCCACATCCTACAAGAACATTTCTAAGTCTCTTTCCTCAAAGAAACTCACAGGTTAACTCCAAACACACTGATCTTGTCACTGAATGGGAACCATTAAAGCCCACCTTGTAAGCTTTGGATTATATTCAGTTTTTCTAATTCAGGTGCAAGATCTGATTGCTCTCAGTTTCTTCATGTACCTTTGATTTT